ATCAAGTATGTTATTATGAAACATATAGAAATGTCATTGTTTTTTAGCTGTGCTCTTTATCCTTTTGAGGCTCCTCCCTAGCCATTGTGCATATAAGATAAACCTTTTGAATCTTACTCTGTGTCCCATTGTTCTTAATCAAATTAACCTCAGGTACAGAAGATCTGATGAGCCCGAGGCCCACGTTTCTGATGAAAACCCCAGCGTCAGTCTTTGCTCGCTCCATTGTTGGCACCTCACAGAGCCCTCTGACAGCGCCCTTCACTAGTCCTGACCCGGACAGCCCTTTTGCTTCTCCCGCTCTGCGGCGTCTGACTGCTCCTGCGGACCCGTGGTTCGGCACAGTGCAGAGCCCCCACGTCATGAGGAGACTCCCAAAACTCTGGTCCACCCCCACAGGTGAGAGGAGGTCACTCGGACGAAACACTTTGATCCAGTATTTACATGTTCTGAAACTAATGGTAGTATTTTGAGTCCATTCATAATATCACCAGAGGTTTTGACGCTTTAGGTATGACATTATCTCGTCAGGGTATAATTACATAGGTTCAGTAGTATTAAAATAAAAAATAGATATCGGCAAGTCAAGGTTTTACTGCTGGTTCCCCATTTGTGATTTAGTATCTCTGTTCAGATTCACAGGTCAATGGAAGTCCCCCAGCATCCCCTTCCTCAGTTCCCAGTCCCAAACAGGAACCGTCCAAACCAAGTCTCCTGGCTCAGTTCCTCCAAAACAGAAAAGAACAGGTATTTCAGTCTTGTCAATACAGAATGACAGTATCAATATAATTATGTGTATACAGTGTTGACAAAGGCTTTCACACATGTATTAACCTTGGGCTAACAAAAGTAATCCCACAGAGGGGTCTCTCTCTCTCTCGTCTGATTTTCATGATTTTCCAAAGCCAAAAACCCTTTACGCCGTGATGGGCCAGGGAGGCGCAGGTGAGAAAATGGACATAGTCCATCCCTCTCTCCCACTGCTGCCGAAACCCTCATCCACGCCTTCATCACCTCCCGTCTAGATTATTGCAACGGCCTCCTCTACGGTTCACCTGCAAAAATCCTCCAAAAACTTCAATATATCCAGAACTCCGCCGCCCGTCTACTCACCCACCCCCGAATCCGTGAACACATTACACCCGTCCTCATCAAGCTCCACTGGCTCCCCATCCCCCAGAGAATTCAGTACAAGATCCTCCTGATGACGTACAAAGCCCTCCATCACCTGGCCCCATCCTACCTGACTGACCTCCTCCACAGACACACTCCCACTCGCTCCCTCCGCTCTGCTACTGCCAACCTCCTGTCCCTCCCCACCCGGACCAACCTCAAGTCCTGGGGCGACAGAGCCTTCTCCGTTGCTGCACCCACCCTCTGGAACTCACTACCCCAATCCATCAGAGATTCTTCCTCCCTGACAGCATTCAAAACATCACTCAAAACCCACCTGTTCAACACTGCATTCAACCACTGACCCCCCCCCCCTATTTTCTCTTTTTGTATTTCTTTATCTATTTTTGTTTTCTCTTGTCTTTATTTTTCTTAACTCTCTGTCAAAGCGTCTTTGAGTTTCATGAAAAGCGCTATAAAAGTCCCATTTATTATTATTATAGCACTATTTGCGCCACTTTTTTTTTCACAGCTCAATCACACCAATCATTTCTGTGCTGCCACTGGAGAGATGAATCAGGAGGAGTGCCACAAATGTTAGGAACATGTGTCCTATCTGTAGCCTGGCTATTGATTTCCTACTTATGAAGTCACCATCTGGTGGAGTACAGAGATGATCAGGGTTTTCTTAGCCCAGGGTTAAGTGTGAAACGCCATTACTGCTACGTGTGTTTCATTTTGTTGTGTTGTTTTTAAAGCGAAACAACTTTACACTTAATTGTCCCATTCAGGTTAAACATTTCTTGGCAAAGCGCGTGCTGATAATGTATTTGTTTAACAAGGTAAGGATGTGTGGCATGTGAACACGGTGAGGGGTTCTCTGCATGTTCTCATCTTTAATCTACCCCCCCCCCCCCCACCTGCAGACATCACTAATTGATCACTGTTTGGATGTAGTTGTACACACATTACTAATGTAGCTCTTTTCCACCCCCCTAGCTGTTACAATGAGCCTTACTAATGACTTTAAAAGCTGGATTCAAGGAGGTGTGTAGCATGCGTGTAAGGCATAGCACGATGTCCTTATTGTAGAACTAGAAACTAGTTTGGTTAGTCTGCGTGTCTTTCTGAGTAGTTTGTATTTTCCTTTGAACATGCATGCATTTTGTAGTGTAGTATCACTAAACCCAACTTCCTGATTCATCAGTCTACTGTAGCTATGCTTCCGTCTGAATCGTTAGAAAACTCTGTACTAGTTAACGTTTTCTCTTGCAGCTTCCAGAAGCCTCCAGTCAGGCTCTGTTTGCAGACAGCCAGGCGCACATCTGGGCTTTAGAAGGTGGGCAGAGATGGTGGACTTTAATTTAAAGCCGATATGTCCTGTTGATACACCATGTACAATATATTCTGTTACATCCTCCCCCAGGGCTGACGTACCTTGTTCAAGCCTCCTTCTCAGAAGACCAGTTTGGGGTCGTACAGACTGCATTACCCAGCATTCTCGGGTGTATGCTCGTCTTACAAGAGGTAAGCTGTTTTATGGTTTGCGGCAACTACCCTGAGATATGGGGGAAAAGGGGATTGCTGTCAAATGTAATGGCCCATCTGTATTGTGCGGAGTGTGAATTGACTTTGCAAGTGAAGACCTTCTACTGGACAATGCAATAACAAACAGAACTGTAGGGCTTACTGCTGGTTAAGGTTTGATTAAAGGGATGATTTTATCTAGATCACTTGCTGAATGTATTTCAGAATTGCTATTCAGAAAATGGTGTCAAAAACTTTTGCTAATTGAAAACCATTAAAGAGCTGGTTAGAGCCGTACTCTGCAGTGTTAATACGACATAAGAGATACATTGTGGGGGGTCACTCAGGTGAGACTTACTCAAAACGACCATTTTTACCTGTTTGACAAGAAGCTGAGACATCAAGGAAATTGAGTGAATTGTGTTGTGTGTTTTCCCCCCGTCTCCAGGCAGTAGATCGGCACTTCAAGCTGCCTCACGCCTCCAGTAAGCCCGTCCGGTCGGCCAGCAGCCTGGGAGACTCCACTCACAAAACACTGCGCTTTGCCCTCAGAGCCACTCTCAAGACTGCCATCTACAGGATAACTACTACTTTTGGAAGTCACTTAAGGTAAGGCCTGTCGTTGAAATTGACTCTCTTCAAATTATACAAAAAATGTGTAATGTGTATATATTTGTGTATCCTCAGTGCTGTTCAGATGTCTGCAGAGCACCGGAAAAGATTGCAGCAGTTCCTGGAAAACAAGGAGTAAAACACCTGACACTTGGCTCTTGTGCCTGCAGATTCTTATCAGCTTGTGTGTGCACTAGCATGAGTGAGGCCAATGCTGAAAGCCCATGATAGTGCCTCCTTTTTTTAATATTTATGTGTGCAAGATGTCATGGTGGAATGTATTTGATAGTTATATCACATCCTCCATGTGTGAGGCTTCCTGCTACGCTGACAGACTGAAACAGGATAGAAGCCCAGCTGTTCTTCCTCTTTAGGAGATTTAAACTAGCTCACAAAAAGAACTTTTCATTTGTATTACGAGATAATGATATTTGACTTGACTCATTCATTTGGAAAAGTTGTAAAGGGCTTTGTTTTACATTGTGCTTTTTGGTACCGCACTTCATAAGCTGTCTTATGGAATTATGATATCCTTCTGGTTTCAAAACATTATCATTTGGTGTGAGTGAGAGAGTTGGCGTGTCAGTGATGAGAAAGGAGCATTGTTGCTCTCTTCAGCTTGATCTGAAATGTGTTCTGGAAATATATATTTTTTTAAAGATCTGGTTTTGTTCTAAACTCCAGCCTGGAGAACTCGTTTACTGTCCACCTCAGTTCAGGTTCTCTAACTAGAAAATACACCATCAGATGTACAGATCAGACACCCTGTGTCTGTTAACTATTTAGTTTGTCAGCTTTTGTTCATGAGGAATGAGGCTGTCTGTCAGATAAAGGATGGAGATTTGGTGTGACTGGTAAAAGTGTGGGCAAAATGTTTAGATTGCAAATGCGTATTGAGTCTGATATCCACTCAGAGACCTGTTGAATAAAAACATTATGTAATGATCCATTTTCATGTTGTCATTTCTCAGCAGAAACAATCAAATGATCAACTGCTCCCAGCAATTCAAATGTTGTTTATAGATCAAGATGTGCTTAATACAGATAAAGGCAGGGTTATAAAATGTTTAGTATTTTGCAATGACTATTTGCTCAGCTGTAGTGTACTTATCTGGGCACCTGGGGGGATTAAACCCCCCCTTATCAACAATTAGACAGAAGCCTTTATGAGGTTGCATAGAAACAGCCATGAGGTGAAGGGTAGCGTCTGCTCGCAACATATGTTAAATATAGTCAACCCTTTTTCAGATTTGACTTGTTCTTTTGGGAACGGCACACATGACACTGCACCAGAAACAGCCACGTTAAATTCAACCATTACTCATGTTTTTTACACCTGTGCCTTTGAGCCAAACCACCTCAAATCAAGAAAGGGCCTGAAATATGAATGACTATCCTAACCAAAGGAGAACATAATTGTAAAGCCAGCATTAGTCACATTTCTTGACATGTATATCTTAGTGACCTCTTTAACACGAAAGTTGATTTCCTTTATGGGGAACGTAGGGTCCACATTTTTTGGAGCTGGGTCAGGTTTGGACCTCTTGTGTTCTGCTAATATTTGCACAGCATATCAATCAATTACATGAATCTAAAGACATCCCTAAAGTGTGTTCTGTGAGGAAGCCATCATTCTCCAACTCTAAGTGAATATACAGCAGCCTGCAAAACTGGTAAAAGCAAAAGACTTCACAGAGTACTTATTTGTCGGTCGATAAATAAAATGAATATTACACGAGACCATGAAATGACAACAACATCAAGAGCACTGTCTTTTTGTTTATTGCACGAATCGTACATATTTCCAACTTAACTGGTAGAACGCAATATTAGGCAGTGGTGGACAAAACAATTGTTCATCTAACGCCTTATGTATACAAGATGCCAAAAATAGCCAGTGGGAAAATCTGGATAGAACTTTCTCAATTGATGGATTAAGATTTAGCAAGGAAATACTATTTAGCCTTTTCCTTGAACAAGAAATAGAATCTAATACTTGAAATGACAGCTGATCTGTTCATAACAGAGGGATGCCATTCATAAAAAGAAAAATAGAACAAAAATGGTGCCTCATGTATTTTTCTCTTGATTTTAAAAGTCTCCTCATATAGAATATAAACCTCTGCATCAATACCAATCAAATGGTTTGACATCTTTTTTATTTTTTTTGGAGTCAAACAGCATTTGCGTACGTTGTTTTTTTTTTTTTTACAGTTTTAATATATATTTATATATGTACATATAAATTCAACTATGAGTTCTCATAGAAAATGAGAAAAGCTGGACTTTATCGCTCTCACACAACAAATGACTGGCAAGAACATTGACCCCCCCCCCTCTCCTCTTTCCTAACAGGTGGTGCGCTAACCTTCTAACACACGACTTAGATCAAATGTGTGTCTAATATTTGTCGTTGAGACAATTATTTTTAACTTTTAGCGTCACAGATGGATTTTGGGGAACCACTCAATTGTCACATTGGTAGTTTTTAAATTGGGATTCAATCCAGGTTGAATCTTGCTTTTTTTTTTTAAATGTCAGATCCCCTCACCATCCTATGCGATTTGCCTCAACATTTAATCTTTCCTTTCAAAGATGGAGAACGAGGGAGGAAGAAAGGAAGGAGGAGGAGGGAAGATTGGTGGAAGCAATCCTCAGTCAAAAAACTCTTAAGTGCAAAATATCTCCCCACTCAAATAATCAATAGAAATTAACTAAACTTCACTGTGGGGTCTCCAATGAAGGATACAAGACAAAAGCTCTTCCCCCCCAAAATCACACTCGGTGCACATTTTGTCTTTGTCTCAAACTAAAAGCTTCCCTGATTCAAAGTGCACTCAGTAGTGAAGGGGAGGGGGTGATGCAGAGAGGAGGGGGGAGGAAGTAGCATGTCTGGTGATGCAGCATGTAGGGATGTAGTAGTCCTCCTGCACAAGCTCAGAGCCAGAAATCAATATGAGACTGGGGCGATGCAGAGTACACTGGGGGTTCCCTCCTTAAAATCTTAAAAGGGAGTCACATTCAAGGGGATGGTTTGAGGGTACCATTCTACCCCCTGCTGACCCTCCCTCCATCAGCACAGAGAGCTCCAGAGAAGGTGTGTTACTAAGAGAGAAGGGACGCCTGCTGGTGGTGTAGCTTCCTACAGGGTACCTAAAGAAGAGGTGCTTGTTGCCATACATGCACAGTACAATGTTCTGGGGCTAGGCAGAGCTTAGAGATAATGTATAGACAAGCAGGAGCCTCCAAGGGGCTCGTAGGGGTGTAAGCACTCACTAAACCTCTTTGTACAATTCCCCAAAATCAGGATTCTGGAAGTGTGTATATAGTCTTTAGTTGTCATTTGCACACACACAACTGCTGGGAAACCAGGCGTTAAGCATCTCTTCTTCAAAAGTATGTTTAAGTAAATGTGTGTTTTCATCTCTGTGAGACTGTATATGTATGAGGAAAAACAAGTCTGTGGCTCGTCTGTGTTTGAGTGTGCCAGTGTGTCAATAGTGCTTGCCTATGTGCATCAATTCAAGGGCAATACAGTGTGTATGCATGTGTGTGTGGGTCTAAGTATGTGTGTGTAGCTCAGGAGGACATGCACTGGACGTTGTCTGGACCTCCCTCCTCTTCATCGGAGGAATCTGGAGAGCTCCACGACTCGTCTGTGTCTGCGTCAGCACCCTCACGGCGGGCCTGTATCCAGACAGAGAGAACAGAGACAAATCAGACTATTAATGGCTGATATAGTATGCCAACAAGGTGCACACTGGGAGAAACTTCCAAAAGAACAAAGAAATTGGGGTGTTGTATTGTTTGAGTGTTTACCCTGGGAGGCCTTCTGTTCCTCATGTGTCTCATCAGGAACCACAGCAGCTGGGTGTCGTACTGGTCGCCATGACGAACACTGTCTTCATCTCGCTCCCGCTTGTTCTTCTTCATCACCTTCACAAACACAACCGACAGGTGTTAGTGTGGAGAACAAAGGGGAAAAGAATATGCCTTTGAATTTTCACTACTTTTTCAAACTTAAAAAGAGCCACTTGAATAGCCATTATTGCCATATTATGGGAAGTAATGATAACAATTCAAGCAGGAACAAGGAAGATTAAGTTGACCTCCATCCATAACAATACAGAGTTAGCTTTTTTGCAGTGCAATAGACATTTATAATGGACAGTTCAGTTAAATGAAACCTTCATTTTTTATTTCAAATAACTGGTTTAGATAAATGAGTAAAACTGGGTTTGTACAATATACATGCACAGACTGTTAAAAATGATTCTAAATGGTTTAACTCAAGCCCTGTCTCTACAAGGAAGTGGGAGAAATGTTACCACAACAAAGAGTATAATAGACAAACCCATAAAAAGCAGAATTAAATGTAGGGATGATTTAAAATACCTCTTTCAGACCCTTGAGTCCAGTGGGGCACTCAGCTGTGGGGGCCCACAGTTTGACGTCGTGGTCCAGCCCGCTGGTGGCCATGCCTGGCAGATGGGGGTGTGGCTCCAAACAGTTCACCTGTCATTGTCGAGGGGGGAGAAAAATGACTGAGATGAAGTTTACGATACATTGAATATTCTTGGGATGCATGTCTTGGCAGTAAAACTCTACTGTGAATACAACCAGATGAAGACAACGAGATTACAGAAGCACTACCGAGTGTGTTTGTACAGCCTTTGCCAAGTAATCTAGTTTGAACCCAACAAAACAATATAAATTCTCTGTCTTTGACTCACCACTCCTCCCCTGTCTCCCTCCATAAACTGGACAATGCGAGCAGAGTTCTTGTCCCACAGGTAGATGTGTCCGCAGTCACTGCCACTGACCACAAACTCACTGCACGGCCCATAGAAGTTCACCCCCTTCACTGTGAGAAAGAAAAGTGGACACAGTTTCAATCTATGTGATAACCAAATCGTTTAACAGTCCTGCAGTACAGATTCAGGAGAAAAGCACACCACATATACAGTTCTAAACAGCATGAATGATTGGTTAACAGGTAAATGCTTCGGAAGTTGGGCCAAAACTGATGTGGTTGATTTTGGAAACTATGGTCTTTAAGCAACGAGTGCATCTTTATTACTGTTCTTACATGCTTGCTATAAATAGGAACTGAAATGAGCACCTGTAGCATTATTGCGGTGACCCTTGTATCTCCTGCGATAGTCTGCCCCGTCACTGTGGTTGGAGTCAAACAGGTAGATGTCCTCATCGTTGTAACTGATCAGGAGCTCTGCACAGAAAGAAAATGATGTTTGGTTTCTTTGAACGCAATGTTTAGCCAAGTTTTCGAAGAGAGAATAAATTGGATTTAGTAGATTTGTGTATCTCGCTCTAAACTCGACCTTAGTGATGTTCTGCAAAGATGAGAGCACATGCTTTTATAGAATAATCCTCATTCTGTGTATGTTTCACTGATTGCATTGTGGTTGCATCAGGAAGGCTGAGAAGGCCTGAAATGTTGGTATTTTCAAAAAGTAGCATCAGGTAAAGGGATCATTATTTTGTTCATAACCGAATTCGAAAAAGGGTACAGATAATCAATATACATTTACATATAAATAGGAAACAGGATTATGTAGATTGCAGGGAAATTAAACCATGCCTTGGAATGCTAATCTACTGTATTTTCTTACAGCATGCATGCTATTCTGTACTTATGATGTAAGATAACCATTTTGAATGCTTCGACTTTTTCTTTCAATGTTAATCAGTGTTTTACCTGTGCCATCGTGGCTGTACACAAGGCAGGTGATGTTGGTTTTGGACTCACTGGATACCAGATGTGAGGGACAAAACTTTTTCAGTACACCATTGTTGTCGTTCTCATTGATCTTCCTCTGGTCATAGATCCTAAAGAGGGTGAGAGAAAGAGACAGTGAGAACAGAAGAAATACATTCAGAAGTGACATCGAAGAAATAGAAAGAAACAATATTCAATTTGATGATACTTTATCAAAACCTGCTTCATACCTCACATACTGATCCCTTCCTCCCACAGCAAAGTGTTGTGTCTTCGCTGGGTTGACATAGATGGTGTACAAGCCCACTTTTTTATCCCCCTCCTTTACGGTCACCAGTTTACTGCCAATGAAAGGAGACACAAAGGAAAGGCACGTATTAGCTCTGGGGACAGAGCGATTTATACTGTATCAAACGCAGGAAAAGTGAAAAGAGAAAGTTGTTGAATAGAGGACGTTCACCAACATGGAGTGAAAGGAGGTTTGGGTAACAACACTGCTAACATGGTCTAAAAAGGCCAGTTATATTAAAACAAGACACTGCCTGAACAGAAATCAGTGATTAGAAGTGTATTAATAATAATAATTCCTTACATTTATTATAGCGCTTTTCAATGACTCAAAGCACTTTACATATACACACATATCATACATGCAATGGTCAGATACTGTGGACAATACCCACAGGAGCAAGTTCAGGTGAAGTGTCTTGCCCAAGGACACACCGGTATTGTGTCATAGTTTATGATATTTTCCTCACCTATTGCAAAAGCCAAATTCAATTCCTGAGGTGAATGAATTTAAACTTGGACAACTTTAATTACGGTATCACTCACTTGGCGGGACGGTCAAGGCGCAGGTCAATACCAAACACCACAGCGTCCTCCCCCGCAGACAGAAAGGAGCAGGGGGAGTCTGGCTCCAGGGCCAGCTGGAACAAAAACAAGTAGAAACTAATATAAGCGCCTTAAAGTTGTATGCCTTTACAAAAAAAGTCAAGTTGCAACTTTCATGTCTGTCCTAAATGTCCACACTTCATAAATGTAACCTATTAGACAAGATATTGTGTTTTGCAAGGTAGGGCTGCTCCATTATGGCACAAATCATAATCTCGATTATTTGGGTCAATAATTGATATCACGATTATTAAAAACGATTATTTACATTTACTTTGAAAACATCCATTTATTGAAAAAAATTGTGAACAGTGTGTTTTTAACAGTTGATTACCCTGAAGTTTAAGTATAATTAAACTGAAAAACCAATAACAAATAAATAATCGTTTTATTTCGGTGATGTTGTTTTCATGATCGTTGCAAGCTAAAATCGTAATTGCGATTGAAATACGATCAATTCAATGTAATTAATGTATTCACAGTTAAAAAATGCAATCATAATGGAGATATGTGAAATGAGACACCCAGAGGAACTATCCAAAGTTTTAGAATAGAGTCCAAGATGGTAAACAAAAAGTATTTACAACACATCTAGAATTTGAAAAAACCTTGGCCTTTCTAATCTTATCAGTTTGTCCTTGGGTCAAAGTGGAGCTTTGTGCCACATTTGAATGCATTCCCCTCAAGTGTTTCTGAGATATACTGCATTCACACATCCATTGGCAAATACAGTACGGCCACTCACCTTGTGTGCCGCCCCTTTATGCTGAGCTACCCGCTTGGTGTTCTTGCAGCGCTGTGTGGCAGAGAGCTCCGCCACTCTGATCTGCCCATCTCGAGCACACATGGCCAAGGTGGAGTCCCCACTGTGAGGCAGGAACTTTGCCTGTGTACATGAAGGGAAGGGGGAGACTCATTTTAAATGTCCGACTTCATTGGTCACTTCGTTGCCACTACTCTCCTGTTTTATTCTTTAACTAATCATCAATATAAAGCTATGACTCACCCTCACAATGAAATCAAAGTATATCATTGCCTTTGGTTAAATGGTAGAGCTGCAACGTTGGTCAAGTGTTTTGCTTTCCTTACCTGAAAGACATTGCTCTTGTGGCCACTGTCAAACTCCAGCTCAGCACGGCGGATCGCCCAATCCCAGATGACCACTCGCAGGTCATCGCTGCCCGAAGCCAGGCGTGTGCCCGAGGGGTTGAAGTGCAGCGTGTTGACGCAGCCCGTGTGCCTCTCCAGCCGGCCCTGCAGCTCCAGCCTCTGCACCAGACCCCGCGCTCCACACACACGCCTCACAAACTGGTGTCCCCCCCTGCCGATCTCCCTGGAGCGCAGCGAGGGTATCGACCTCCATATAGGGGCACGCATGTCACGGACCTCTGCTCCCAGCCACGCCTCCATAGCCTCGTTATCGTCGTCATCATCATCTTTCTGTTCTTCTTCTTCTTCTTCGTCGTCATCGTCGTCGTCATCATCATCTGAGCTGGAGGAGTGATTGGTGCCGCCGCCAGGTCTATTCCTCTTTCTGGCTGCTCTTTTCTCGCGATCTTTATCCCTAACTCTCTCCCGTCTGCCTCCCTCGCTCTCTCTGTCACCATCCTCAGTCAGGGAGTAAAGACCGCTTCCATCCATGCTGTCTGTGTCTTCTTCTTCCTCCTCCTCCTCCTCCTCCTCTCCCTCTCTGTTTGCCCTCATCCCTCCTTCCACATCTGGCATAGGCTTGTCCCCTGAAGCCTCTCCTGTTTCTTTGGGATCTACAGAAATAGGAAAAGTCAGAGCCATAGAGGACTAGGTCAAGACATTTCTGTCTCACTGGGAGATTCAACAAAAAGTGCACGACTGCTACTGGTATCAATGTTACATTTGCATTTAAAAATGAACATACATTAAAAATGATCAAAGCAAAGTCTCTACCACTAATACTATATACTCTGTTAAATAAATACACTTTTAAGTTGCTGTTAAACAAAAAGAATGTGGATACCATCTTGAGATGAAGACTGTGTTTGTCCCTCTTTACTTCCAGAGGCACCTTCCTCCTTGTGTTGATCTTCTTCTGGATCTTTTTCTTCAGAGCCACCTGGTAAAAAACACTCAAATTAAGTACCCTAGGAACAGGTAGTCTATATAAATAGTTAGTCACTTTCTTGCACTGATCCTTTACCTTTCAGCGCAGTAGATTTGACTTCAGGTTCAGCCATTGTGTCTCTTTGTCCTGCGTCGCCCCGAGAGGGAACCTTTGATCGAAAACAAAATGCAGGTTGTTAACGAAACACATTAACTAGGGCTATTATTGAGATGATAAACTACTTGTATTCTTTAGTAAGCCAACACTGTTGCTTGCAGTCACTAATCTGTTGCCGCACTGTGCGCCGTGGGGCACAAGTAACCTGTTAGCTCTTCCAAACTAACAGCGAGGCTAATTTTAGTACCCAGTCCCACTGCCTGCAAACACATAAACAAACTTACTTGCTTGGTAGCTGTCTCACAGGCCTGACTTTCTTATTACTGCATTTAAACAGTGCATTGTCTTCTACAGTGCTTGACAATCTGTCATTGTTATTGTCGTGAGCTAATGCTAACTAGCCTGCGTGTGGCTAACACAAATGAAACTAAATACTGCTGAATCCTGCGTAAGCACCAAACAGCTGGTTGTCAAAAGGCAAGCAGTAAGCATTGCTCGTGGTTGCTAACTAGCATAGCATGCGTTACCTCTACTCGAAGGCCCGACGAGGCGTACTTCTCAGTTTAGTCCTAATCTTTATTGCAGATTTATGCTCTCCAATTCACTGCTTAGCAATTGAGCTAAGTGCCGTGACAAGGGATCCTCTGGCCGTAAATACACGACATTAGGAAAGCGTGCATAAAGGTTTTTGCAAAAGACAGACTATAAAGCAAGCAAGGTTGACGACTATGTTTATGTTTTGACGGGTCTTTCTTTTTTGTTTTTTTGGTTCCATTTCCGGTGTCGTGCTTGTTTCGGTTTTTTTCGCCGGAAGTTTACAGTACAATTACAAAAATAATACTGTATACATTAAACATCCATGATACAGAGGTGGAAGAAGTACTTACATTCTTTACTTTATTAAAGGTAGAAACACTTTGATTTGAAAATATTCCATTTCAAGGGAAAGTCTTTGATTCAAAATGTTGCTCAAGTGAAGTACAGAAGTATTGTCAGCTAAATGTACTTAAAATATGAAAAGTACAAGTACCCATTATGCACAATGGCTGTGGTGAAACTATCATATTATTATAGCATTTAAATGTTGCAGTTTGTTATATTAAGACAGTTTTAGATTTATTTTCAATATATATTGCTAGTTCAATACTGCACTATGTCATACAAATGCCATGTGTTTTAACAGTAGCTGGTAACTATGGCCGTTAAAATGTTTTAATGAAGTAAAATAAATTCTTCCAAAATGCTGTTGAGTAGAAGTATAGAGTAGCATACAATTGAAAAGTTAAGTATACATATACAAAATAGTACTTAAGTACAGTACATCTACTTCACACCACTGTATACATTATAAACAGTATCAAGTTCAAAGGCTTTATTGTCATATGCACACTGATGCTATAGTGTAGATATAGCAATGCAAATCTTAAGTCCCAAGCTATGCAAACAATGCAACATATATATATATATATATATATGACATAAAACAAATTCAAAAATAAGAATACAAAAAATAAAATAACAAAAATATTGCAAGAATAAACAGTAGAATAGAATATGCACATTTAAATATTGTAGTGAAAACATTACTGTTTATTGTGGTGATTAACATTAAGATAAATAAATTGTCTGACCTCCTCTCTCTCCAGCGTCTCGTCGCCATCGGTGATCAGGCCGATGACGGTCGTGTCGTCAGCAAACTTCACATTGGTGTTGGAGCTGTGTGTGGCCATGCGGTCGTGTGTGAAAAGGGAGTACAGGAGAGGGCTGAGCTCACAACCCTGAGGTGCTCCGGTGTTGAGGATCAGGGTGGAGGACGGCCTGGGGTCTGCCCGTCAGGAAGTTCAGGATCCAATCACAGAGGACGCTGCTGAGCTAGATGACAAGCTTGGAGGGCACAATGGTGTTAAAAGCTGACCTGTAGTCAATGAACAGCATTCCCACATGTGTCCATGGGGTCAAGGAGGGAGGAGGTGATGTGGGTTTTGACTAACCGCACAAAGCACAAATGACGATGGAAGGGAGTGCCACTGGGTGGTATTCATTGAGGCTGGTGTTTTAGTCTTTTTGGGGACAGGAACGATGGTGGAGGATTTGAAACATGCGGGGACTATGCAGCAGTGCCCTGTTGATATATGTCCGTGAACACCTCTGCCAGCTGAACTGCACACACCCTGAGAACAGGGCCAGGGATGCCATCAGGCCTAGGAGCCTGGTGCGGATGAACCCTTAAAGGATCTCAACATCTGCCCTTTTAAAAATGGCTCGTGGGCCTTCTGTACCTCCACAGCATGGCTGCTCTCAAAATGTGCATAAAAAGAGTTCAGCTCATCTGGGAGAGACACACGCAGACAATCCCCCAGCACCACCTGATGTCCCTTTGCAGTCAGTCATTGTTCTTAGTCCCGCCCACATGGCACCCCCCTGTTGTCAGAGCCTTTAGACTCCACTTTGTAGTTTCTATTTGCACTGCTAATGGCTCTGCAGAGCACGTACCTTGAGTTCCTGTACTTGTCCAAATCTCTGCCTCTGTGTGCGATAGGCCACACTTTCAGCTTGACACAGACCTAACCGTTTGTCCAGGGCTTCTGGTTCAGTCTATAAATCATACTTAAAAAAATCTGATAGAAATATAACTGTTCTCTTTAATGCTTAATTGATCAAAATAAATACTCAATATACCTGTATTCAGGATAGAATACATACAACACATAGTCTGAATCATATGACCCATAGATCTCTGAAGATCTGTTGTCAAGTTCAATGTGAGCGGCTCTGGCTGGTGACATTCTGGCAGTGAGGCCACCGTCTAACTCAAAGCTAATTGTATAATGGGCATCATAGTGGAATTGATCATGCCAGGTCACACAACAGAGCAGACCCCAAGAGGCTAATGCCCTGAGATGGCATCCAGCTGTCACTCAAAATAGACGCCACCCTAATAATTTTTAACTTCAAGCCTTAGTAAAAAATACACAGGGGTGTTATATTGAATGTAGCCCCCCTAAAATTGTCATGAATAGGGAGTTAAGCTACAGGGACCAACATTACTGGCTTATTACTGCTGGAAAGTTGGGCAATTAACATAGGTTTTATGGAGATTGACTTGTTTTTGTAGTTTCAAGTAACCATTTGATGAACTGCATTCATGGCACTTCTGCATAAGCTTCACATGAGGTTGTGGCTTGGTTTTCACCCTCTGTTTAAAACACTGCACTTGTCTATTACCTGTCTTAAACCCCCATTGCAAAATAGCCCAGAAGTTCTCTGAATATATTATGAGAAAAACTTGCTGCACGTTTACAGTAGATCTCAGGTAGAGGGTGGAGATATTAAGAAAGGAGCGGTACTGTATATTATAATGTCCCTGCATGGGACATGGGAGCCAAATCTGAATGGCTTGTTGAATCACATGTTTTCTGACATCGGCAGCTCAAGAAAAAACGAACTGGAGTGACTTATTGCACAGTGGGTTGGGCACTCAAAATGCCCAAATATGCAAAAGCATCAGAAAAATATGTTTTTCATATGTCCCCTTTAAGTAATCAAGAGGGCAAGTTTCCTTGCTAAACCTACTTACTCTTATATAAGAAGTTGTAGTTTATGAGCCAATATCTGCGGAAACATCTGTCTCCCTCACTTAGGGTGAAACAAGATGGGATCCCTCCGCTTCCTTCCTGTGTTTATGTCGTGGCCTTGATGACAGCGATCTACAGTAAATCCCATGGAAGGAGGATGTCCTTCTCCCCATATTTGTTATCCCTCGATTCTTTACTATATCTGACTTGTAAAAAACGCAAAAACAGTTTTCACAGTTTCTCTAAGAACTCAGATTACAGTCACCTGTCAAAACTGTCTATAATCCACATGGAATGTCAACTGGTAGTGGGTGATTGAGGGATTACTGCAACACACACAGTTTTTCATAGAATAAATAGATACACTGTTTTTGAATGAAGAAAAAGTACTAAAATAGTTACTGTCACAAAATGCCGTTGATCAACATTTATCGAGGAAAATCTAAATTTTGGATTGATATTATTTTTTTCATTCATGCATTAGTGGGATTTTGGATTACTGTTTCAGACAATGCATATATTTCTTAAAACAAATTCTTTAAAAATGTGATGGGCATATAGGCCTAGTTTATTAAGCAATCGTTCAGAAATAATAGATTTATTAAAAAATGCTTTATATTGAATGAAAAACCAATTTCCATTTAGATTATGTATATGTGAAATTACTTAAAATTGCTGCCAACAGCTAGAAGAGCTTCCTATATAAAGTGTTACAACTTGATAAGCAGCAAGGGGAAGGCTTACGCACATTGTACGACCACCTCTGTGGAAACAGTGTCACAGAGGGAGGAAGGGGAAGTTCACACATGCAGAGGGGGTTTCAGACAGACTCCCAGCTGTGCAGCGTCTAAAAGCTGCAGCTCCCCCCCCCCTCCAGAGGACATGAAGGAGTTCAGAGAGACGAGGGGACGCCGCTGAGCGCAGCTACCATGCCGTGCACAGGCTTCAGATAGGGACAAAGTTTACACATTTGGTACTAACCTTCTGTTTTCACCGACAACATGGAGTACTGGAGGCAGTGTGCGATGTGGCTGATCAGCTGCAACGTGCTGCCCGCCAACCACCGGGTGACTGCGGACACCGCGCAGGTGTTCGATCTGGCGCAGACCCTGCGGGACGGGGTGCTGCTGTGCCAGCTGCTCAACAACCTGAAACCTCACACCATCAACCTGAAGGAGATCAATCTCAGGCCGCAGATGTCACAGGTAGAATCTTCAGCTCTGCTTTCAAAGCAACTTTACTGTGGTGGTAACGTGTGCAAACAGAGGAACTGCGTAACTGTGGTGAAGTTAAAATTGTTGCCAGACAGACATTAGTAATAAAATAAGATGTAGACCTACTATTGATCCCAATCTGGTCCCAATTCACCATTGATAGGACATTGCACATGAATAATGTGCAATGTAATTTAGGTAACTAACATACAATAACAAAAATACAAAAAATATATGTATATCAGCAGAAGATAAACAAAATATACAAAACAGTGAATATCAATAATGAAGGATATATATATATCTATATATATATAGATATATATATATCTATATATATATAGATATATATATATATAGAATACACAATATACATACACATATACAGAATGGAAGGCAGTACATTAGGCTTGTCCAACCTATCAAACTCCCAAAATGTAAACATTGAATATATGATATACACTTCCAAACACTACACTACAATGTACGTTCCATTACATTCATGTGATTAAAAGCGTGCCAGAATAGTTAATTTAGTGTTACACGTCAATGTAAGTTAATTTACTAAATATCACGTGCTCCAGAATCAATTAGCCCTGTTAGTGGGGGAAATCAATTCAATGTCACTTATGCTTATTAACACTGACAGAAAAATGTGTTCTGGTTTGCATGAACTTAGAAGGCTAACACAATGATGCTTTTAAAGGAACAATTAGACACATATAGGTCTCTTGACAAACCATTCAAAACCTCACCTCAAAACAACACATTACATATGGTAAAAATGTGCATTATTCCAGGCTTCTTTAGAGTGTATTGGGGTGTGAGAGGAATTATCTTCCTTTAGGATAATACACAAAAGTAGTGAAGATAAGGCAAGCTTATCATACTTTTTAATCCGTCAAACTCCTTACATTCAAGTCCAGATAGTGTAAAGCCATCCTCTCTCCTGTGGTGCTGTGTCACTGTAAGCATTTCATAAAAGGGAGGC